CAATGTGCTGACAAGCAAACGCCGCCCCCCTTCACCCGCGCAGTATGTTGCTGACGGAGTCGATGAACGCCGGCGCGCACAGGCACATCCACGAGCTCCTCGACGGAACGTGGTCCTCGTACTGGTCCGGAATTTACAACCGGACGGAGGAGATCGTCCTCCCGTTCATGCACACGATTGTGTTGAGCACGAATCTTGGTTTGTTGCTCATGGTGAGCATCTTGTAAGTGTTATGATTGTCGTTATTATTGTCCTTTCTGTCCTGCGGTGGTGCTGCCCTGTCGTCCGTGACGATTCGACCAAGAGACCAGCTCAGACGAAGTAGCCGAATTGAGAGCGGACAGCTTTTGCCGACAACACTTTTGGGCTGTTCAAGCAAACGACGGTGGTAGCATTCCATGAATGTTGCTTTTCTGCTGCATGAGGTAGAGCGTTTTCCCTCGCCACCCCTCCTCACCGCTTGCTGCGTATCATCGACCCGAGCTTACGAGAGCGTCGAACTAACTAGCGCTGCATTCTGAAGTTCTTCCCTTGTGTTGAGTTCCTGTGGGATGAACGTCCGCCGCCCGCCACTTCCGAGTCCCCTCTGTGCGTTCTTGCCGTCCCTGCCTTCACCAAAACCAGCCTCTGATGAAATATCTTTGGAGAGCGGACTACCTGCAGTGCAACACGACGTGCGACTTCAGCTTCTCGTGGGCCGACTGCAGGTGCACCCTCAGCGCCAGAAGCGGTGGCGGGGCAAACACCATCAGAGGTATGCGCGCGGTCTCCCTGAATTCGTCAACAATGCTCGTGTCTTCGCGGTAGAAAGGTCGAGGCGGGAGAACATGGCATTTGCGATTGTTTCAGGCTTGGTGTTCTGTTCGTTCCGCCAACACAATGCTTCCATTTCGCCACCTCTGGTGCACTTCTTGAGTTGTTCGAGTCCGAGCCAACGGCTCTTCTTTACCATTTTCGATCGCACGGAACGAAGAGGAATATTACACGAAAGGCGTTGGCCTGACCTTCGTGAGGCGCCCTGCTCAGCAAATGAACTCCACAACGGCACTTTACCCGGGAACAAGCACCGCCCCGTCGAGATTGCTGAGCGCGTCTCGAGGCGCCCCACATTTGCGGGGGCCCGTAACGCCACACCAGGGCACTGAATCTTCAATATTCTCACACACACTCCTCGGCACTGTAGACAAACTCTGGGTTGGCCTTTCTCGGTGTTGCAAACTGGTCCGACGTCAAGCTTGCTCCAGAAACGTTGGGGTGTCAAAGCTTTTGTCTTCCCTTAAAAGCGTTTGCACAGTCGCACACACCAACTGCTTTGTGCGTTGGTGCAGAATTAACCGTAAGTTTCCTTCACAAACGAGCATCGCAGGTGCGTCACACTACCTCAGGGGCGCGCGTGGTAGCCTCCGACAGGAAACAACAACATTTGTCATCGTTTTCTACAATGTTTCTTTGCCAGGTCTTGGAGAGTTTCGGGATGCTTTCCGACGCGGCCGATGCGTTCTTCTACGACGAAGACCTCAAGCACGTCGACAACCTCACGGACAAGCAGGTACGGGCTCCGTGTACTCCTTCATTCGGTTCGATTTATTCATGTCCGTACACCAATGTGTGCAGTCACATCTTAGGTTTTCCCTGGGTCAGCCATGGAAAAGCTGCCGGATTGTCATGGAGTTGGGAGCATAACATGCAGGCTCGGAGAACCGTGCCCCCGCGCGTCATTTCCATCAGCGAACACGGATCATGTGTTGCGCTCAGAATTTAGCCACACCCGTAACAGTTTTGGTATTAATTACATGCGTTTCCTCCGGCGAGTTTACGCTTCGGCGATCAGTGCTTCTTACGTTAGACAAGTGATTATATTCTCATGCAGGATACCAAGGAAAAACTGCACACAGACGTACGCACACCGCGCTTGTAGACGACGGAAACAGTACTCCGCGCACGGTCGTTCATGGGACCCCGAGAGTGTTGGTTTGCACATGGGTCAAGGGAAGAAAACGGAAACGAAAACGAAAACGAGTGCATACCTTGACTGGTTCGGACTGAACCGTAGCCGGTGCCACCGCAGGAGATGGCGCCATCACAACTGGTCCAGATGGCGCCGTCACAAGCGGGACCGGTGTCGTCGCGAGGGGGCGTGTCGTCGCCGCCGAATGAGGTAGAGCTGTTTTTGTTGTGGCACGGGGGGCGGGCGGGGGGGCGGGGGGTGCTCATAGTCGTGCATGCCGTAGTCCGTAGACCATTGACCTCGCATCCCTACAAAGCCGGGACGGAGTACGCCGAGTTCTCGCCGGACCAGGCTCTCACATCACCAAGCGCGAAGCGCCGTGAGATATTCGGCGAGTCGCATGAAGGGTGCGCTGCATCCTGCTAAGGGTTTTCGGCATCTTGTGCTTACTTCCTTGCGTACGGATGACAGCTGCGTATGACTTAATTTACTTTCTGGTGCTTTCACTTCCAGAGACAGTTGTAAGCACTGTGTAACTGTATCGAGGGTGCTTGACCATTTGAACACAACGTGGTGCGATCATCCCCCTTGTGCGGAGTGAGGGTTCTCGACCCCGCACAACATGATGTACTCGACCACCATCATGGTTACCGCCAAAAAATAAAAAACAGAGGTAAAAAAAAACAAGCGGTAACCTGGCTGCGGAGTTCACGAAGTGAATTGGCTTGTTT